GGAGGGAGTTGACAGGCGAGATCTCTTGCCTCAGAGGAAGGAGCTTTCTCAATCACAAGCGGCACCATGAATCATTGTTTCGTTTTTAAAACGGTGCAGTGCTTTCTGCGGAACGCCAAAGAGAAAGATCCCCCGTATAGCCTGAACAGACTGTTGGGGCAAGTGCTGTTAGCGAGTAGCACCTGTGAAGACCGGCATAGTACACGAGGGGGTGGGTGACCAACACCACGCCCGACCGCCTTTGTCTCCCTAGTGGCAATGTCCGCACATCGCACTCAATTGAGGCTGAGTCGACCCATTGTCTACCTATTGTCTTCCAGGAGCAGCAGCAGTAGCAGCAGCAGGAGCAGCAGCAACAGTAGGAGCAGCAGGAGCAGCAGCAGTAGCAGTAACGGCAGCAGCTGCAGGGGCAGCAACAGCAGCAGCAGTAGCAGCAGCAGGAGCAGCAGCAACAGTAGGAGCAGCAGGAGCAGCAGCAGTAGCAGTAACGGCAGCAGCTGCAGGGGCAGCAGCAGCAACAGCAGCAGTAGTAGCAGAGCAGCAGCAGCAGGAGCAGCAGCAGCAATAGCAGCAACAGCACTCTCTCGTGCGTTCTCTCCCTCTATCTTTGTCTGTCTCAGTGTTTCATTGAGCTCGGGTGAGTAAAATCGGGTTGTTTTTTATTGCATCACCAATAACCGCGTGAAAAAGCGGTAAAAAAAACCGGTTTCCCAGACATAGAAATGTCTCGAGCAATAAACGCGCGCGACACGTTCAGCGTTTTAATTGCAAAGAAAAAAAATGGAGCGACCGCAGTGGTGAACGCCACTGGGGCTGCAATCCAGAGGCCGACGGTTCGACCCCAGACAATGGGGGGCGAGATGTTTGACCCCCCCCCCCACCCCCCGCTACCCCCCAGCCTTAGTAGCCCCCCCCCCCCCCCGCTCAGAAGTATAAATGGGTTGGGTTCACCACAGTTCGGCTACCGACAGGTCGCGCGTCTGCTCAGCGTGGAGCCTCCTCTGGTGGAGCCTCCCTCTGGTGGAGCCTCCCTCTGGTGGAGCCTCCCTCTGGTGGAGCCTCCCTCTGGTGGAGCCTCCCTCTGGTGGAGCCTCCCTCTGGTGGAGCCTCCCTCTGGTGGAGCCTCCCTCTGGTGGAGCCTCCCCCTAGTGGAGCCTCCCCCGAGTGGAGCCTCCCCCGAGTGGAGCCTCCTCGAGTGGAGCCTCACTCTGGTGGAGCCTCCCTCTGGTGGAGCCTCCCTCTGGTGGAGCGTCCCCCTGGTGGAGTCTCCTCTGGTGGAGTCTCCTCTGGTGGAGCCTCCCCCTAGTGGAGCCTTCCCTGGTGGAGCCTTCCCTGGTAAAGCCTTCCCTGGTGGAGCCTCCCCTAGTGGAGCCTGTTCTGGTGGAGCCTCCCTCTGGTGGAGCCTCCCCCTGTTGGAGCCTCCCCCTGGTGGAGCTTCCCTCTGGTGCAGCCTCCCCCTAGTGGAGCCTCCCCTGGTGGAGCCTCCCTCTGGTGGAGCCTCTTCTCGAGCCTCTTGGAGAGGTGGCTCCACTCGAGGGCAGGGAGCGAGACAGAGAATTTGCAGGGACTGCGCCTTTGCCGTGTCGCCGAGCACGGAGGTCAACATGCGATTTGGGGCCAAGGCGCGTGACGCGCGCGGCGCTGTCAACTCGGAGCGTTCATTGCGAACGCCTCCACGGGAAAGGGCGAAGTGGTTGCTTGACTTTCAGAACCGTTAACCGTTTCGTAAATAGGTTACCGGTTTTTTGCCGGTTGTCGTTTAAGAGGAACCCGAGGCGAGTTTGACCCGAGGTGCAACAGCAACAGAAACAGCGGCGGCGGCCTCTCTTGCGCGCGTGAAACCCAGCCGCGTTCACCACCAAAGTATGCCGCGCGTTTATTACAGAGGTCGCAAACGGGTTTTGATTCCTTACCCGTACCCGTACCGGCCGCACCAGGGTCGCAAACGGTTACCCGTACCCGGCCGTACCCTTACCCGGCCGGGTATCGGGTAGGGTACGGGTATCGGGTACCCAGTTGCGACCTCTGACGTTGAAGCTGCCACCGCCAACATGGCACTGACACAACACGAGCTTGTCACGTCGTCACACAATCATCATCATCATCATACGTCAACATTGCAGTGCACCTCCATGCAATATATACAGCATCTTTCCTTAACATTGACCGTCTCTCTCACACACACACACAGCATACGCGCACAGCGGATACCATGTGGCTGGTGGAATTGCAGGACAACAACGAGGTTTCCTATCCCTATACCGTATTGAAACAACTCAACACAATAACAGCAGTGGTGTGTGTGGTCTTAAAGCAAACAAAAATAAATATAATCGTTGACGTTTCGGGGAATGGCCCTTCTTCAGCGCACATAAATCGTTAATTGTGCTTGCGCACCACTGCCAGCACAGACGAACACAATTTGTGTCGAGTAGCCATGCCGAGTCTGTCCGGCTCCTCTGGTTTCATTCCCCAGAGGCAAGACAAAACACAATTCAATAATGGATTTGCAAACACGTTCCCAATGCAATGATTTGGGCCCTGATAACTCGGTGAGTCTTTCCCGAGTAAATATATCACATTACCGTGTGAATATTATGAGATTATGTTATTATTGTTGCTTTTTAGAAGCATGGATTTGCTAAAAGACGTGGTGATGATATGTGTGACTTATTAAAGAACCATTACGCGTCGGTCATGGTGGGGAGGTGGGGGGGGTGGGGGGGTGGGGAGGTGGGGGGGTGGGGGGGGTGGGGAGTTGGAGGGGTGGAGGGGTGGGGGGTTGGGGGTTTGACCATACTTCACTGCTGTGGTCACAGTGCGGCTGCCTGGTGAACACTCGCGCTCTCCGTGGGCTTTGGCAAAGCCGCCACCGCACTGCGCCGTGAACTCGGACAACCGAGTTCGATTCCCGTGCCACGGCTAACATCAGTGGCACGGCTAACACCATCAGTGGCACGGCTAACATCATCAGTGGCACGGCTAACACCATCAGTGGCATGGCTAACACCATCAGGCAGACGATTCAGATCAGTCAAAACAAGGACAAACAGATTCAAACAGAGCTTTTATCCTACAGCGATCACCACACTCAATAATGCTAATTAATTATTAAGTAATAGTGTTTACAATTGTTTGTGAAATAGAGATGTGCAATGACAAAATGTAACCTTATGTGGGTATGTGGGTATACTTGGGCTGTTTTTATATATAGTATAAATTGATTATCTTTCATTTAATTTAATTTTTATTTTCTTGTTTTATTTAATTTAAATTTATGAATGATGCCCTGACTGGTGAGCATTTTAAATTTCGTTGTACTGGTGACAATGACAATAAACGATCTATCTATCTATCAGTGGCACGGCTAACACCATCAGTGGCACGGCTAACACCATCAGTGGCATGGCTAACACCATCAGTAGCACGGCTAACACCATCAGTGGCACGGCTAACATCATCAGTGGCACGGCTAACACCATCAGTGGCACGGCTAACATCATCAGTAGCACAGCTAACATCATCAGTAGCACGGCTAACATCATCAGTAGCACGGCTAACATCATCAGTAGCACGGCATTGAGCATCGTTGTTGACGTAGCAACGGATTGACAAAGGAATGTGTATATTACATATTATTATATTATATATTATTATATATTATTACATTATATATTATTATAGTGTATATTATGTATTACTGTATTTCAATCTCTGTCGTTATAACCTCACGATACAGAACCTAGCCAATCTCTATCCACCGATGGATGGAGGTCTCCCCGCGGTGTTGACCATGGGCTAGGGAGCTGGGGGGGGGGGGGGGTGTTTGACCATACTTCACCACACTGGTCACAGGTGCGGCTTGATGTACAAATTACGAATCCAAGACTCGCTATTTCAAAGCAAACACAGCCTCCACTTTCCTGGACAAAGAGAGGCAATGAATGTGATTTACAGCTCACGGTATGCACTCTGCTTGAGTTGACACTTGGATGACCAACAGTTGACATCGTTCGTACACGCTGCAGTCAACAATTTGACAGTGTGGTGTACAAGCTGCAGTTCAGTACATATCGTCTATAATATTGTATGTATGTTGAACTTCTTTCGCACCGTACGTAGCCAACCGCGCTAATGGGAGGTGCGGTGAATGACAGTCGTAGTAACGAGGGTTACACATACTCCCTCTGGGCTGTGATCTATTGCAGCTGCAGTCGATAGGGAACGACTTTGCCGATACCTCCTGAACATGCAGTCGACACAATGAGCGGGGATAGTCCATAGACTCTACAGCACACACGGCACAAGGTCTGGTAGCTCGCCTACGCTGGGTGGTCTACCGTCCATTCATGAGACGATATTCCACACACACCGTCATACACAACGGTGCACATTCATTGCCATGGCACATTCACTCACACATTCACTCACACACACACACGCACATGGACACACGCCCATACACATTCACTGACACACACATTCACTCTCACATACGCACACAAATACAAAGATCCCCCGTATAACCTTAACAGACTGTTGGGGCAAGTGCCGGAAACGCCACACGAGGGGGTGGGTGGTCAGCACCACGCCCGGCCGCCTTTGTCTCCCCAGTGGCGATGTTTACACACCACACCAGGTATTCATTTGAGGCCGAGTAGACCGAGAGGAGGCCCGTGACACCCCCATACACGTTCACTCTCACACACATTCACTCTCACACACATTCACTCTCACACACACACACACACATACTCCCACACACATCGAGTCCCAAACACGTTGACTCCCATACACATTGACTCCCAAACACATACCACGCTCCCATACCCATACACAAATGCACACACACACACCACTCTCGTCCGCGAACACACACACACACACAGACAAACGCTCTACACATCACAGCTAGACATTCGCGCACCGTGAGACACACGGGGAGATGAAGCCAGCAGCAGCAGCAGTAGCAGCAGTAACAGCAGCAGACAATGGCTTACCGATCCCTCCTGCTTGCTCTCGGTGTCCACTCCGGGGTATCCGCCGTCTGTCTCCGCGCTTTATGAATAAATCAGCTTGGTGTGAGCGAGTAGCTCAGGCTGCTGCTGCTGCTGCATCACCCGCTCCTTTCTCCCCCCGTGCCTCCCTCTCTCTTGCAGATCTCCCTGCCTCTCTCTCTCTCCCTCCCCACCCTCTCTCTCTTCACTTCCTCTCCCTATTGGATCTCTCTCCCTCTTCCACCCCCCCCCCCTCTCTCTCTCTCTTGGCTGGACCTCCCTCCCCTCTCTCGCTCTCGCTCCCTCTTCCACCCTGTTCCTCAGTCCCTTGTTTCGCCCCCCCCCCCCACTATTTCCCACCCACATTTCCCCCCCACCCTCACCCTCTCTCTCTCTTCCTCCATCAACAGACTCCTCCTCTTTCCGCACAACACACGACACGACCATCATCATCATCACGACCATCATCATCATCATCACTGCCGTCACCATCACTACAATCACCATCACGACCATCACCATCACGACCATCATCGCATCACTAACGTCACCACCACTACCATCATCGCTACCATCATCACTACTACCATCACCATCACGACCATCATCATCGTTACCATCACTACCATCATCGCTACCATCATCGTTACCATCACTACCATCATCATCACTACCATCACCATCACTACCATCATCATCATCACTGCCGTCACCATCACTACCATCACCATCACGACCATCATCGCATCACTAACGTCACCATCACTACCATCATCGCTACCATCATCGTTACCATCGCTGCCATCATCATCATCACTACCATCATCACTACTATCATCACTACCATCACGATTATCATCACTGCCATCATTACCATAACGACTACAATTATCACTACCATCACCATGACTACCATCGCCACCAATCACTACCATCATCATCACCATTACCATAATGACCAATATCATCTCCATCATCATAAACAGCAGCATCGCTACCGTCAACATCAGCATCGCTGACTAGAATCATCATCATTATCTGGGATCATCGCCATACCATCACGATAATATCATCATCAGGACCCTGATCGCAAGCAACGTCATAATGTCGCCCTATGCTACTTCAGCGTGGCTGTAAATTATCATCGGCCAAACGTGCAAAGACAAAGATCCCCGTATAGCCTTAAGAGGCTGTTGGGGCAAGTGCTGTTGGCGATCACTTGCGGGCTGGCACGAGGGAGGGAGTGGGTGGGCAACAACACGCCCGACCGCCTTTGTCTCTCCACTGCTGATGCATTCACACCGCACCAGATACCATATTTCAGGCTGAGTCAACCTCGTGGAGGGGCCCGGGATCGCTGCAAATCGTCGTCACCGATGTTGACCGTGAGCGGGAATCGAACTCGGGTCCTTCACGGACTGTTGGGGCTGTTAGCGAGCACCTATGAAGGCCGACACGGCACGCGAAGGGGTGGATGGCCACCAACACGCCCGGCCGCCTTTGTCTCCCTTGCGGCGATGATTTGTACACACTGCACCAGGTACTCATTTGAGGCTGAGTCGACCTAGGGGAGGCCCAGGACTCGTTCAGATAATCGTCACCGGTGTTGGCCGTGAGCGGGCAATCGAACTCGGGTCGCCAGGTTCGTAGCGCAGCGCGCTATAACCGCTCCCCACACACACACACATCACACACACATCACACACACACCTATCCATACATACACACGCTTAGCTATACATGCATACGTGTGCATACATGTGCTGCATACGAGTATTGCACAAACTCACGTTTGTGCACGCGTGTGTGTTCACCTCCAACCAGCCATTGAACCATATACACAACCATGTCCACCATACATACACACACAGATCTCTCACACACACACACAACTGACATACACACATCTTACAGATTCTCAAACGCACACACACCCACATGGACATATCACACATTGCCAGTCCCTGCACAGCACACAAGGGGGTGAGTGGCTAGCACCATGCCCGGCCGCCTTTGTCTTCCTCGTGGCGATGTTTACATACCGCACCAGGTACTCATTTGGGGCTGAGTCGACCTTGGGGAGGCCCAGGACCGGTTCAGATAATGGTCACTGGCGTTTGTGGCCGTGAGTGGGAATCGAACTCGGGTTGCCGGGGATTCGTAACGCAGCCGCGACACCACCGCTCCCCACTCACACAAACAAACAAAGATCCCCCGTGTAGCCTTAACAGACTGGAGGGGAAAGTGCTGTTAGCGAGCACCTATGAAGGCCGGAACGGTACACGAGTGGGTGGGTGGCCAGCACCACGCCCGACCGCCTTTGTCTCCCTAGTGGCGATGTTTACACACTGCACCAGGTTTCATTTGAGCGGGAATCGAACCAGGGTCTCCAGGTTCGTAGCGCAGCGCGCTAACCGCTCCACCACCGCTCCCCACTCACACGAACAGACACACAAACCGCCGCTCGCAGCCTCCCATTGTTACCTTTCCCACGTGGAAATTCCACTGATTGGAAGTAAATGTTACATAGTGTTGGGACCGGTTCGAGTTCGTGTCATGTCTTACACGGGATTATCCCGTTCATCCAGTTGCACGGCTATTTTGCAAAGGGAGATCCGTAGTGCGTGCGCACAGCTACTCGTTAACGAGGTGTTTCATGCTCGTAAATATAACTCCAGTGCAAACATATTGCGAGAGCAAGAGGCGCCAGAATAAAGGTCGGCACAGGTGCAAGGAAATTTCGATTTAAAGCTTTCGTGACTGCAGGGATTCATCTTCTTGGTTCTTTCGGTAAAGTCACGTAGAAGGGAAATAATAAAATAAAATAATAAAAGAAACTTTTCTTTATTTTATTATTTCCCTTCTACGTGACTTTGCCGAAAGAACCAAGAAGAGGTGCAAGGAAGCTCTGTGGTGGGTTTTTTTGTATCTAATAGGGGCAAAAGAGGGATAGGCAAGGGATAGAACCAAGCTGTGGATGTGTGCCAATGGGATTCCAGAAACGTGGAGTAGCAACGCAGACTTTTTTTTTACGCAAAGTTTTCGCAAATGGCAGTTTTAGGAAGGGATAAGGAGGCACAGCTGATGCTTCGGGAGCGAGCCAGAGGAACTAAGTGGCCCTGGAGGTAATTGGCGATGGCTTTGATAAAGAGGGCGTCTTGGATGAAGACCGCCTAATGATGATGGTCACTCCGGATGTCCAAGGAGGAGGGACGGATTTGAGTGAATGTAAGCTTGGAATGATGCGTTCTAGAGGGACCGGAGTGGGGCGGAGTGGAATAATGGAATGAGACGTTCTAAGGTAGATTCCGAAGCGAGGCTTGAGGTGGTGTCACTAATCACAACATTTATACTGAAGGAATCCGATGAGCTATGAAGATCTTTTCACAGATGTACAAATATGGGCAGGATAGTGGCTTTAACGATATTCGGATTGAGTCGAGGTGGATTACAGAGTTTGTTTCTGGATAGGAATAAAATTTTTTTTATCTTGTTGGCCATGTGGTCAATGTGGGTCATGAAATACAGTGTCGAGTCCAGGATAACGTCTCGATATTTAAATGTGTCGACCTACTCAATAGGGTGTGAGTCCAAAACCAACAATGTAAACTAAACTATTTAGTTTTTTTGATCAGCTAAGGCCCACTGAGCTGTCTAGCTCTTTTTTCAGAAGCGACCTGGCCACAATTGACCGCACAACGAAGTGGCTTCATCGCGTGGACATTTAAAGCAGCCAAAGTAATCTAATGGCAGGTTTCTAATGCTCTAAACGCATGTTTCTAAATGTTGAGCGGGGAAACCCGGAGGACCCGGAGAAAAAAAAATCCACGCGACCACAGGGAGACCATGCAAACTACAAATATACTACAGCAGGTGTCACTCAATACATTTCGTGTGGGAGCAGCAAACCAGAGAATCCGTGGAGAAACATCACCACATCATCCGAGGGGACAACACTCAGAGCTGCTGACACTCCTGCTGTAGACCACCTGACAGCCCAAACCTACTCCACGTGTCCATTTAGACACAAAAAGACAAATATACCCCGTGTAGCCTCAACAGACAGTTGGGGCAAGTGCTGTTAGCGAGCACCTATGAAGGCCGACACGGCGCACGAGGGGGGTGGGTGGCCAGCAACCACGCCCGGCCGCCTTTGTCTTCCTAGTGGCGATGTTTACACACCGTTGACTCGACCTAGGACCGGTTCGGATAATTGTCACTGGTCAGTTTAACACGTAGGCTTTCGCGACCAATATTATTCATAATCAACGTTTTTGGGTTTAGATCGCGTTATTTATAAATGTGTCGTAACCCTCCACCACCCGACACGGCCAATCAGTAAAAAAGTGTCACGTTGACAAAAGACAAATAGTTCACTGCTTTAGCCCACCGGTGTGTTGACGCGTGAAACCACAACATTTACAATTTGAGTATGACGTTTCGCTGGTAATTGCATCCAGCATCATCGGGCAATTCCCGAATTGTCACTGGTGTTGGTGGCCGTGAGCAGGAATCGAACTCGGGTAGCCAGGTTCATAGCGCAGCGCGCTAACCGCTACACTACCGCTACCCACCCACAACACAAACACGTGCATCACAATGCATACATCTGTACTACAATATCACTCGACATGCCTGGCTCTCTCTACGTGTGCTGCGATGAAGGGCCATTGCCCGAAACGTCGCCGTTTAAGTCGGTGTTATTTAGGAATGTGTGGTGTATGTTTTTTGATCAGTGTTGTGAAACCGCCACTGTCACCAAATCACGTATCTACATTGGGGATACATGGCGGCTTGTGATTGGCTGGGGCGTCCCTGAGAGCGCCCATAGGCCACATGCGAGGGGTTTGAGTTAGCCAATGGGAAGCCGACATAACCTCATTGGCACATCGCCCCCTTTGTGTTGCAAAGTCTTTGTATTGAATATTGATAGGGGGAATTTACAAAACAACTTCAGGACATACTCGATGTTTAAAGTTATTTTGTAACTTTTAAACAGTTTCGTGACCCTTTAAAATAAACATAAATAAATGAACATTCCTTTAGAAAATAAAAAAGCACGACTAACCCTGACCCTCCCGCCCTTCCGCCAGCCAGCCAGACTGCCAAACTCTTTTTTAATAAAGCATGATCTTTTTAAAAACGAGTATTTTACCTGGGATG